GTGCGGGTCAGGATCCGTGTGCGGGCCGGGTCCGAGTGCGGGTCAGGATCCGTGTGCGGGTCAGGATCCGTGTGCGGGCCGGGTCCGAGTGCGGGCCAGGATCCGAGTGCGGGCCGGGTCCGAGTGCGGGTCAGGATCCGAGTGCGGGTCAGGATCCGTGTGCGGGTCAGGATCCCTGTGCGGGTCGGGTCCGAGTGCGGGCCGGGTCCGAGTGCGGGCCGGGTCCGAGTGCGGGTCGGGTCCGAGTGCGGGTCAGGATCCCTGTGCGGGCCGGGTCCGAGTGCGGGCCGGGGTCCGTGTGCGGGCCGGGGTCCGAGTGCGGTTCAGGATCCGAGTGCGGGTCAGGATCCCTGTGCGGGTCGGGTCCGAGTGCGGGCCGGGTCCGTGCGCGGGCCGGGTCCGTGCGCGGGCCGGGTCCGAGTGCGGGCCAGGATCCGAGTGCGGGCCGGGTCCGTGCGCGGGCCGGGGCTCGGGCGCGCCGCGGGACCCCCGGCCGGGCGGGGCCGGACTACGCGCCCCGAGCGCCCCTGCGCGGCGGCGGGGCGGGGCCGCGCGGCCCTACAAAGGCGGCGGGGCGGCGCGGCCGCCGCTACTCACCGGCACCGGCGGGCGGGCGCGGGGCCGCGCTCCGGCTCCAGGCGCGGCCATGAGGCGGCTGTAGGGCCCCGGGAGCCGCCGCCGCTCCGCTGCCTTCGGCCGCCGCGGGGGCTCGGCGGGGCGCGGCTCTCGCTCGGGGTGGATGCCGGCCGCGGCCGGCCGCTCCCGGCACCATGCACACCGTGCAGAAGGACACCACCTTCACCAAGATCTTCGTCGGGGGGCTGCCCTACCACACCACCGACTCCTCCCTCAGGAAGTACTTCGAGGTCTTCGGGGACATCGAGGAGGCGGTGGTGATCACGGACCGGCAGACCGGCAAATCCCGAGGATACGGCTTTGTAAGTGCCGCTCCGCTCTGCTCCGCTCCGCGGCGGGACGGGCGCTGCCCCCGCTGCCCGCCGTGCGCCGGGGAAGGCGCCGGCAGCGGAGCCCGGGGCTGCCGAGCCCGCCGGTGCGCTCGGACAAAGCCCCGGTGCGCCCGGACAAAGCCCCGGTGCGCCCGGACAAAGCCCCGGTGCGCCCGGACAAAGCCCCGGTGCGCCCGGACAAAGCCCCCTTGTAGCCGGACAAACTCCCGGTGCGGCCGGGCGGACCCCCCGGCGCTGCCGCGGAGTTTGTGCCCGCTGCGGGAACGAGGGGCTCGGTCCGGACAAAAGCGAGGCGGGGGTCCCGGGAGGAGCCCCCCGTGCTGGCCCGGCCGGTGCCGTTCTCTTCAGCACCTGCTTGCCCCTCCCGATGTCCCCGCGTCCCGCCCGCGCTGCCCGGAGCTCCGCTGCGCCGGGGTTTTGGGAAGGGCTCCAGCGGCTTCTTGAAACAGGCGCGGGGAGGAGGTGGAAGGGCAGGGGAAACAGCTGGCACCGGCCCAGCCGGGAGCGCCCGCTTTTCCATCGAGTCCCGGGAGCCCTTCCCATCTCGCCGTGCAAGCGAGGCTGCACGAAGGGAGTTCAGCTCCCGATTCAAAATAGAACAATAAATAAACTCCACTTAGTGCCTGTTGCTGGAGTGTTTACAAAGCTCTGTTGCTACAAACAAGGCTGTGCTCGATTCCAGGTGACCATGGCAGACAGAGCTGCTGCTGAAAGAGCCTGCAAAGACCCAAACCCCATCATTGACGGCAGGAAAGCAAATGTGAACCTGGCGTATTTGGGAGCAAAACCAAGGAGTATTCAAACTGGTGAGCCATCCAGGAGATCCCATCTCTCTCTATTAGAATAACTTGTAAGACAAGGAAACAAGATCCTCGGGCTGGAATCATCTGATCTGACGATGCACATTTATCTGTCCCCCATAGTTCTGATTATTGGCTGAGGGCACTGCGTAGTCCAGTTACCTCTTTGGTGTATCTTCTTCCTCAGCCCTGCTGCACTAAGATTACTCACCAAAGTTCCTATAACTGTGTTAAAGCTGTTTCCTTCCACGGCAGATCTGTTTGCCCGTTAACCTCTTTGTTACATGAGAATGAACAGTAAGAACCACTTCGTCATTTCTCCCTTTGGTTTGATGACTGCAGTCCCCAGTGTGTAAAATAAGGCTTTATTCCCCATTGTCTGTTCCATAGCAGCACGTTCACACTGGGCTTTCATCATGAATTCCCATCTGCTCCTCGTGCATATCACATACGCATGTTAAATTTAACTTGTTTCTAAATGGGGCTCTGAATTTGCTCACATTCATAGCAGATCAAATGCAAAGACGTGTGGTGTAATTCTGCCTGTGTGTTAGGAGTTGAGTGGTACAATGGATGCCATTCATTAATATTTCTTTTTTTTTCTGAACCTTTTTTTTTTTCAGGTTTTACCATAGGTGTGCAGCAGCTACATCCAGCCTTCATTCAGAGACCCTTTGGGTAAGTGGAAATGATTCCTAACGGTCTGTTTGAAATCAGATTCACAAATCAACTTCCTCATTATTTAAAATGTGTGAAAAAGCCTTCGTCGTCAAGAGTGGACAGTTTCAACAGCTGTTGTTAATGTTCAGAGTACTTTATTTCTGGTGGAGATTTCAGAAGTTTTGTGCATTTGTCAGCTTCAATGTAATTCCCAAAGATCCTTCTTTATCCTCAGTAAATCTTAGTCAAAATAAACCCAGTGCATTGCTCGCTGCTTTGCCAGCTTCAAGAATTCACAGGAATTCAAATAAATGGAAAATAGTTTCTCTATTATAGTACTTAAGGTGTCAAAACAATTAAGCAAATTCTGTTCTCATGTTTCTCAAATAAGATCCTCTGCTTCCTCTGTGCCATTTCCCACGTAATAACGCCTAGGATACAGTTTTATCCTAGAAAATAAATTGCATTGGAAACAAAGTCTGTTACTTAATGAAAGTAACATTAGGTCAAAAATTGATTTTGGACAGATGTTATACAAGGCTTGAATAGTCTGCAAAAGTGGGCTTTTGTCTGCTGTTTTCAATAGCTTATACCATCCCTACTCGGTTAGAAAAGTCCTCTTTTTATACATCTAATAGGATCTGGCAGCTGCTCGGCAAAAGACAAGTGTGCTTCATGAGAACAATAGTGACTGTCATACTGCCCTCATTTAACTGTTTAATGATTGATGCAGCTCTTTTTTTACACCATTTCAGAAAGTGAATATTGATAAGGTTTTTTATTATTATTTTCTAAGAGCATTAAGAAAGTAGGTGCATTTTTTAAAGCTTTTGAGCACTGCCCTGATGTGGTTTTTGTGTGACTCTAATATAAATAGATGGGATTTTGGCCTTTGTCAACAGCAATACTTCATCCCTTCCCTGCTCTCCACTCAATTTTTTTTGGGGGGGTGTTTTGTTTCTTTTTTTTTTTTTTTTAAAGGAAAAAAATCTGCTAACAATAAAACTTTGATTCCTCTGCCCTTATGGCCGCAGTTGCCAACTGCCTGGATAATCTCATTCCATGAGTTTAGGGATGTGAGAGGCTGTGTTGGCACAATGGTGCACACCCAGTGTACGTGTGCTCTGTGTGGTTCAAACACGCCACTTCTCACAAGCAGTTACAGCTCTGCTGGAAAGCCCTGAAAAACATCTGCCATGAAAGGAAGAGTCTCCCCTTTTTTGGGGCAAGAGCCACAGTAGTCTGCATAGACCAAATGCTGCTTTTTCATAGCTTTCCTTGCATGGGGGCTGCAGGAGCTTTCACAGCCCCCAGAGCAGCAGGACCTGGAGATGTGAACCCACAGACTTTTGCATGGGAGTGCAGGGGAGAAGTTGCCAATAAAAGCAGCCTCTGGCAAGCCCTGCCACACGTGGGAGCAGAGAAGAGCAAAGTGGTGAAGCCCGTTAAAACTCCTCTTGTTGGCAGGAGCACTTTGCAGATTATCTGCAGTTTTCTGGGTGCCCTTCCTACCTCACAGCCACAGCTCTTGAAAACATTTTTTTTTTTCCAACAGTTTGCTTTTGGTTTCACATCCAGAGGAGTGTGGGATCGACTGATTACATGCTCCTTGTGATCTAGACAGTTCCTGTTGCAGTTCTTAGGCATTGGTTTCATCATTAAACCAGCAGAGCTGCAGTTAGCACATACAGCGGAGAGCATTATAAATTATTTATCAGTTGCCAAGAGACAGGAACCAGGAGAATGGAAGGCTGGAGGCAGGGGATTATATATCATTATTTGCAAGCATCAGTAAACAAGAATTTAATTGAATTCAGTCATTGCTGCAGCAGAATCACTGGAAATGTGGGTTTTGCAGAATGTGTTTACCTGAGCACCACCTTTACCTGAGCACCACAACTGGGGCTGCTCTGTGGCTTCTGAGCAAAGCCTCGGGTGCTCAGTCAAGCAGCAGAGCTTGGCTGCCAGTTCCCTCTTTGTCTCCTCAGTAGACCAACAAAACTAAGAGCCTGCCAAGCTCCACTCCTTCATTCCCTTGAACCCACAACTTCCTTGACCCCAGTGGGATGTGAGGGTAGATGAGGAGTTTATCAGGGTCTGTCACTGAATTGCTGCTGTCTGTTTGCACACGCCGGGTGGATCCTGACCTTTCCCAAAGGAAGCTCAGTGGCTCCGCTGCTTTGCCCCTGGTGTGAGATGTTGCCTGGCTCTCCCTCCTTCAGTTTCTGTCTCTGCAAAGGATTTGTGCCCAGGGGTTGGCATTGTGGTTTCCAAAAGATGATTGTCATGGGGCACAGGGTGCTTGGTGGTCGAGCTGGGCTTGACAGGGCAGGAATGAATGAACAGCCGTTAACGAAGAGCAAGCAGCCAGTCATGTCCCAGCTATCAAGCCACAAAACGCAGGTTTTTGGTGAAACCTAAAATGAATGGAAACTATGAAAATCACCCAAACACCAGAGAGGATTATTTATAAACTGAAGGCTTCCCCCCGTCAGCCCCAGACACCTAAATGCAGCTGTAAATATTGCCAGGGCTATGCGGAACAGAAAGAGAAACCACGAGGAGCCTCTCTCCTTCCTCCTGCTGTCCTGGCAGGGGAGGCACTTGCACAGCAGACAGCATGGAGTCAGTAGTAAATCCTGTTTGGAAAAGAAGTTTCTAGCTTGTTGTAACCAGAGATCTTAACAGTAATGCAAGGCAAAGGATGTGTCTGTGTCAGAGTGACTTGGAGATCTGGCTGCTGAGTTTAGGGAAGCAGCATTGAGCCTGGGGCTCAGCCTGGGGCTTGCAGACTGCTTTGCTTGGAGGCACTTGGCAGTGCCAGAGTGTCCCTGCAGCTGGTGTGCTTCATGTGATAGGTGACGTGGCAGAGCTGCTTGGTCCCACCTTGTGGTTCCCTCCTCTGGGACTCTGGAGGTTGGAGGCAGGTTTGAGTCTGGGGATTCCCTGGTTCTCCTCTGTGCTTGCTGCTCTGGACACAGCATATGGCAGATGCATTCCTGTGGCTGTGCCTCAGCGAAGGAGCTATCTGTGTGGGAGATCTACCAGTGACTGAGTAAGTGACTGAGCTCTTGCAAACATAAAACTGTCTCTTGTGGCAGGATCCAGCTCTTTCCATAGCTGCACATTGGATATCATTGCTCCAGAGACCCCATCCATGTGTAGTTACTTGTTTTGGTGGCCCCCTGCCTCTGACCCACATTTGGTCTCTGGCAACGTCAGAAAGAGTTAAAACTCTTTGAGTTTAAAATTTCATGCGTTGATGCTGCTGCAGTTAGAAGTGAAGAAAGTCTCTCTTTGTATCAGCCCAGTCTCCCTTGCAGCTGTTTATCCTTAACATTTCTCTATTGGGTTAAAAATGAAAGGCAACAAACTTTCATCTTTTCTGTGGTTATACTTATAAAAGGGCACGTGCTGTGCCCAGCCTCTGTCAGCTGGCATCCCCCTGCTCCAGCTTCCCACTGCCCGCTGGAGCTGGAGGCTCCCATCCCACTCTGCCAGGCTCACGTGGATGGAGCACCCAGCACCTGGTGTTATCCTGTGCCAGGAGCATGAAAGCTTGGGGGAGAAAGGAGGCATTTCCTAAGAAATGTCCAAATCCATTTTCCAAACAGCTTCAACTGTGGTTCTCATGCATGGTGACCACTGTTCAGACCAAATGCTTGCCAGTCGGAAAGAAATCCTTTTCTTATTCTTTTATTATTTTATTTTGTGTTTTTTAAGTGTAAACATGTATTTATAAGCAGCTCTGACAGCTTTGAGAATTTTCTTGAACATCTACTTCAAGATGGCAAATGCTGGTGTCAGACCCAAGGATTTGGTGTGCCTATTTTTTGGGGTTGGGACAGAATTTGCTCATTTTCTGCCTGTAAAACAATACAAAAGCGTGGTCTGATACAGTGACCTCACACTTGGCTGTGTGAATGATGTGTGAGCTCAGACCTGTTGCAAGGGACAGGCTCTGGGTGAAGGATCTGAGCCATTCCTGGGCTTGTGTGTGATGGAGACAGCCTGAGCTGGCTCTAGCTTTGTCTTTACAGCACGTGGCTTGAGTTGTGCCTCTGCTCTCTGTGATTCCATTGCCTCTGGTGGATTTCCTCTTCATCCTCCTCAGCAGCAGAGCCCTGATTCCTCTCTTGTTGGTGCTGGAGCTGGGCAGTGGCACATCCAAAATTCACCTGTGTTGCTCTGGCTGGTGCCACAGAGGCCCAAAGTGGCAGATTGATGCACACATCTGAATTTCTAGAGCAGCTCAGCTTGTGCTTGATCTCATGTTTCCTTTGAGCAGCTGCTGGCATATGGGCCCCAACTCATAGTATTAAGCACATGCCCAGTAATTCGGATGATGAATGCAGCCCTGGGCATCCTGCCCTGGCGCTGAGGGCACCAGCCAGGGAACCAGACAGTTGTTGTGCTGATAATTTGGTAGCAAGGACACCGGGTCACTTCTAAATACAACTTTTATGAAGAACTTGTTCCCCACGGATGGGGGCAAGCTACATACCAGAGCTAAATATACTCCATGATCACAAAAGATGAAAAGTCCTGGACCTCGGAGTTAAAACTCAGTCTCCTGTTTCTCAGTCTCCAAGTGCTGTAAACAGGGTTGTGCTGTCCCCTGCAATTTCCCTGTCACCAGCTTTGAGCATTTTACCTCTCCTCTGTCAGACCTGAGCTGCCCTGGCCAAAGCAGCAGAGGCTGGAAAAACCACGCTGGATCCAGGCATCCCCCATGATTCCAGCTTGCAGGAAGCTGTGGAGGGATTACATTGAGATGTCTTAAACATTCTACTACCACAGAGGCACAACTGGCAGCAGAGATCACAAACTCTTAAAATGGAATTTCTTTTTTGACTGAGAAATTACTTAATTACTTGTTTTATCAAGTGTAGGCCTTCTTTTATCAAAAAGAGGTATTTCATTGCTTTTTCCATAGCTGAAGCATTCTGCTTCAAAACACCTCATCTCTCCAAGAAAGGGGTTTAGGTAAATCAAATGAGTGGATGGTTTTAATGAAA